CCTCGAACCCCTCTGCCCCCAAACTCGTCAACCTGCGCTGCTCGTAATATCCTTTTCTTTCCGACGACACAACACCGCACACAAACGCACAACCACTCGACGACTGCCTCTGCCACCGAATCCCCCCTCCCCCTTCCCTTCACCATGGCCGAGAAACCCTCAGTCCTGATTATCGGGGGGCTGGGCTACATCGGTCGCTTCCTGGCCCGCTACATCCACGACAATGACCTCGCATCAGAGGTCCGCGTTGTCGACAAGGCCTTGCCCCAACTCGCATGGCTTGCTCCCGAATTCCAGGACGCCTGCGCCGGCAGCAAATTCATGCAGGCCGATGCAAGCAGAGAACGTAAGTCACCCGACCTGAACGACGACATGACCTACTTTCCCCTTTTTCTTTCCTATTCACCACAAATCACCACTCACTTGTCCATGTCTCCTCTCTTCTCTGTGGCCCATCCCCTTCCCCCTCTGTCTTTGGGGTCTCCAAAGCTGCCGACCGACTCAACCCCCTGACAAACCACCAACTGTCATATCGCTCTTAGCTAACGTTTCTTGCTTTTTCTTTGCCCTCTTGCAGAAGCCCTAGCAAAGATATTCGACCGCGCCGACGGCAAACAGTGGGACTACGTCTTCAATTGCGGCGGCGAGACGAGATATTCGCAAGAGGATGAGGTTTACAAGTTGCGCTCTCTCGGCCTGTCGCTTGCCGTTGGTAAGGAGGCAGCCAAGCGCAAGGTCAAGGCCTTCATCGAGCTCAGCACCGGCATGGTCTACAAGTCAGACTCGTCACCGAGCAAAGAGGGCGACAAGCTGAAGCCTTGGAGCAAGATTGCCGTCTACAAGCTGCAAGCCGAGGACGAGTTGGCAAAAATTGAGGGGTATGTATCCAAGGCGTCGCCACCCAGCGTTCGCAAAGCTCCCTCCACCTTACGGAGCACATCGCCGTGTATCGTTCCAAACTGACTCAATGATACCGTTCCTCTAGACTGAATCTCATCATTGTGCGTTTGGCACACGTCTACGGCCCGTACGCGTCGCAATGGGTCGCAACGGCACTTTGCATGGCCCGTGTCTACCAATACCTGGAGAGCGAAATGAAGTGGCTGTGGGACAAGGGCCTCCGACAGAACACGGTACACATTACAGATGCCGTACGAGCCCTTTGGGATATCACGGCGTGGTACAGCAAAGGCAAGGACAAGTGGGATGCTAAGACCATGGGCAAGGTGCCCACGTTTAACGTTGTCGACAAGGGCATCACCACACAAGGCACCATGTCCGAGATTATTGGCGACATCTTCAAGATCGAAACGGGATTCCAGGGACAACTTATCAGCACATTCGCGCGTCTGAACATGGACAGCGTCGTCGACGACGTCAATGACGAGCTCATGGGACCATGGGCCGAATTGCTCGAGAAGGCGGGCATCGCGCGGCCGGGACCTCTTACGCCCTTCATGGAGAAGGAGCTGTTGAAAGATACGGATTTGAGCATGGACGGTAACCGCTTAGAACAGGTTGTTGGCTTCCAGTACGAAAAGCCCAAGTTGACCAAGGAATTGGTCGAGGAGGTGATTGAGAGCTACAAGACGATGAACTGGTGGCCGTGACGGTCACGGACCGATGGGAACGAATTAGAAGCATAAAAAAGGCGTGCGAATGATGACTTTCGGCCTGGATTCGTTTGAATCGAAGAATCGAAGAACGGGGAAGGATACCAGCGCAGGCGCAGGCGCGGGTTGCGGGACCGAGAAGGGGGAAGCGGGAGAGAGAGAGAGAGACAGCGCGCCATGATATCAGTCGAATCGTTTGTTTGGAAACTCCACTGCGTTCGAGCAGCATTCAGGAGCCGATGGCGGGGAGTGCCGGGGCATTTGTATAACCAAGATATCCCTTTCCTTTTATTCCTCTTCGTAGCTCCGGCCATGTATACTGGCACCATTTTTGAAGGCAGTAATCCACGACGAAATTAGGCCAAAAAATAAATAAATGGAGCACACATATTCTTGAAGCATGTTGAAAGCCTGAGAGCTGTACCTGAGCTGTCACAGGCAGGGGTTGCCTGCTGGCATCTTCTTGAAACAGCAAAGAGCTCTCACGTGTGGTTTTCCGCGGGCGGGAACGTCGCGGCCGGCCACCTCTTGGCCCCGTGGGAGCTGGGATTCTCCTGCCTGCGTGACTGTGTTCTTTGGAGCTTGGCCCCGCCGCGACGAGGTATCTCCCCTCTTCGCTGCTGCGCTATTACTTGCCTTCTCGAAGGCTTGAAGCTTCGTTCATCGGCCGGACCCCCTTTTCGGACGCAGGAGCCATTCCAGTCAAGGCACCGGAAATCCTCGAGACGATTCGTCGAATAGACGAGTCTTATTCGGATATCTCATTGCGCTTTCGCTTCGCTGGCTCGTGTGTTACGGGTGCTAAAACACATCGTTTTCCTGATGGCCGGTTCAGGGGTCTGGCTCAGGAACCAGGCAGCGAGGAAACCAGGAGCCAGAGACAAGTTCGGTCGACGTCAAGGCTGGGTCGGCTGGCGCTACTTGTGCGAGCTGTCAGATATCTGCATTTTCCTTAGCTGATGCAGAGGGCCGCTGATGGGATGCTGTCGTGCGATGGGGCACCCGAGACGGGTAGCAGTGGTACCAGCTAGTCGAAAACCGAGTCCACTGCTGAGCATTCTGAGATGCTGAGATTGGCACGATAGTCTGAGCCAGACTTGTGGAAGGTTTTATGGAGATGAACCCCATAGATGGAGAGAGGGAGCCTGAGCTGGAAAAAGAATGCAGCTCGCTTGGTCGACCCCGTCCACCACCACGGGCAAAACTAAGCGTCCGTCCCGCACATGCTTGGGACTGTAAAGGCCGAGTGTGACCAAAAGTCTGCCGAAGCCGTGGGTTGGCATCTCCCGCCTGATCGCCCGAGACGGGATGGAAAGTTGGGGAGGACCGAGTTCGTGATTGGCGCCGTGTCATTGGCGGAGTAGAAGGAGAGAAGCTGTCGGTGTGTGCGACATTGCTGTTCAGATACAAGCGTCAAGCAGTCTCGAAGCTCTCAGACGAATTGTGCGCCTGTGAGCTGTTGTCTGTCCCTGCGTCTGCCTGCTTTACCCGCCATGCATATGCCTACCTTGGATTGCTTTAGGTAATGACCCTTGCCCGCCCTACATCGTGAAGACTGTGCAAACGCCCACTAGATCCCTTCTTTTTCTTCTTTTCCTTATGCTCTTCAGAGCTGCCTCGAGCCTCGGAAGCTGCCGTTTCTGTTCGCCCCTGGGTCTGTCCTTTCTTGGCTGCCTGATTAGGAAGTGACACTCATGGTGCACATGGGACCGGGACGACAATCGTCAAGGTTGGTGTTCTGGTAGTCTTGAAGAACGGTTGTTCGGATTGCTACGTTCCCCGTACTATCTCCAGATGGACGCAACGCAGACCGGGCTAGGCGACCAGATTGGGATTGCGAGTATCGGGCTGGTTGCTATCATTGGCCATTTGTTTCGCGCAGGTCCAGGTGGTATGCTGGTGTGCCCAGATTCGGGGAGTTAAGAGGAGGATTAAACTGCTGACAGGAGTGTAGAGATCTGGGGGGTGGGAGGTTGCAGTCTGCAGAGAAGGGTGTATGCGGTCATGATCTCACGCGTGTTACCTTTTCGAGGTAGAATGACAGGGTCTGGGGTAAGGCGGAAGGGTGTGGAGGTTGTCTCGCGAGCCTCGGCCCCGACATCTGAGCTGTCGCAGAACGTTCGTGTGATAATACCTAGAGAGCTGTCCTTATTCGGGGCTGGCTGAGCGATTGCGAAGGAGAGAGTGAGAGAGAGCGAGAGCTTCTTCTCTTCATGTGAAAGCCGTGGCAGTGGCAGTGTCAGTGTCAGTGTGGGGAGGGATGCTTCCCCACCCCGCTTGTCCAAGGTACCAAGGTAAGGTACCTTAGGTGACAGAGAAATTGGCCGGTCTTTTAAGCATCGAGCCTGGGAAAAGCGGCCAATTTTGGGTGGTACCTGACAAAAGTAGGTACCTTCCAATTCCAACCCGTATGGTATTAGGTAGGTAGGTACCTTACTCCGTCCTGCGGCAGGCACCTCAGGTGGTGAGCTTGTTCCTGACTTGACCTGACTTGACCTGACTGGAAAGAGTTGATGCCGGACCAGGCGGCGTATAAGAAGGCGCCGACGGATTGGGCGCCTTCCATCCGGAGTCAAATTCCACGTCACCTTTGTTGCTCGGCCCAGCTTGTTCATTCCCATCTTCTTATTTATTCTCCTGCCAATTTACAAAGAAGAGAAGAAGGTGGCTTACCTGAAACAAAGTTTGTGCCTGCTTTGAATAACCACTTTGGCTTGACGGCATTTCACCTTTGCGAACCGGGCCTACCTACCTACACTCAGTGTACGCATCTCACCTCTGCGGATCCGTTGACATTTTGTCTCCGTTGCAACCCCTCCGACCACCGACCCAAGGTACTTTACCACCGCCACCATCACACCTTTACCTCCCATTCAACTCGTTGAAGCTCACCAAAGCTCCAGGACATAAAACACCGAGTAGTTCTTCAGCCAACTTTCGTCGCAGCATCTCCCAAACACATTCGCACAACACATCACATAACAATGGCTGCTCCTGCGACAAAGACGATCGCCGACCTCAACGGCAAGTGGGTCATGGTACGTTCACCCATGTTCTGGATACTTAGCACCACCAAGGAGCAGAGATGCGCACAAGGAAAGCAAGCTGATAACCACAATAGAACAAGACCCTCTCCGATTCTCCGGAGCCCGCTCTCGCCCTCCAGGGCATCGGCTGGATGACCCGCAAGGCTGTCGGCCTCGCCACTGTCACCCTCGACGTCAAGCAGTACACCGCTCCTCCCTCCCCTCCTGGCTCCGGCACTGAGCCCGTCACCCACTTCGATATTGACCAGTTCGCCACCGCCGGCCTCAAGGGCACCACGGAGAAGCGCTGTGTCGACAACGAGTGGCGTGAGCATTCCGACTGGATGTTTGGCAGCGTCCGTGGCCAGAGTCGCTGGATGACCCTCGCCGAGATTGAGGATGAGTTCCTCAAGAAGGGCTGGCTCGAGGGCGATGCCGAGGCTACCGGTCCCGATGGCAAGGCCCACCTCTACAGCCACGTCGAGAGCATCGACAATGGCTGGACCGCCTCCCAGATCTGGGGTTTCCAGACCGTCGAGGGCGAGAGACGCTACACGCGTAACGTTCTCGTTCAAAAGGGCGGCAAGAGAGTCGAGATTCGCCTCGTCTACGACTACCTTCCTTAATTCTTGACGCACGTGGCGTTTTCTGGGAATTCCTTACATTGAGGTTGGATGACGGGACTTATTCTACTACACACGAAGCATGGCTACTACACGCGCTTGCAGGGCGCATAATGACGTTACGCTCTTAGGTTATGAGATGTAGCACGACGAAGAGTAGACTTTGAGAGCATGAATATCAACTGGACCCGTCTGAAAAACTCCTGTTCCGTGGATGCTCATTTGTAAAAGAATATATATACGTGATGACAAGGGAGAGCAATGTTGAATCGTCTGCCTGTGTACCAGTCATTGTCCCAATGCTTCCCTCCGGTTCAACATGCGAACCGCCAACGCCTGAGTTGATGCAGCCAACCGTCTCATCTACCATGTTTCGTCGTGCCATAGATTCATTACGACCGTTGGATGATTGCCGCCATCCTAGTTCTCTCCGTATAACACTGCTCGGCCCAAACCTCTCACTCTCAGATCCGCCCTCGACAAGCGCACACTCACGCCGGTCTCCTCTTGACGAACTCCTCGAGATCCTGCACCGTCGCGACGCCGAGCACAAATCGCCGCTTCTCGTCCGTGATAACGGCAAAGTGGCTCTTTTTCGCCTCGACGCCGTCGCCGGCGAAGAAGGCCTCGAGCTCCTCGAGGGGCGTCTGCATGGTGATGACGCGGTAGGTGCGGCCCTTGCGCTGGAAGCGGACCATGGCCTTGGAGAGGGGGTCCTCGGGCTTGACCTTGCCGGCGTCGAGGAGGGCCTGGAGGTGGGGGATGGCAAGGTAGCCGACGAGGGCGCGATGGGCATCGACGACGGTCAGGTGGGTGTAGTCGCGCTCAAAGGCGGAGATGAGGGCGTGGGAGATGGGGTCGGTGGGCGTTAGGGAGAGGGCGGCCGGGGGGTCGATGTCTTCTACTGTGGCCTGGATGATGAGGAGGGCCGAAGGTTAGTCACTGGCTTGGAAGGTTTTGAGGTCTGTGGTTTGAGATACAAGAGGGAGAAGCGAAATATGGTTCGAGGGGATGTTCACGTACACCGCGGTAACGGGAGGACCATTTTGAGACGAAGGGACTGGAGGTTTCGCTGGTTTGCGACGTAGGTGCCGCGGCGGCGGGAGTGGAAGCCAGAGCCGCCATGATTGGGGATTGAAAAAAACTTTCCGGGCCTTGGGTGAGCACTCGTCACAATCACGATCGACAGTTGTCGAGGCGGAGTAGGTATCGTTAATCGTGATTGGTACTGGTCGCTCGCGCAGTTGCGTTGGAGATGATATCAATTATCGCGGGGTTCTTCAGAGCGAGGAGGGGCGGTGTCGACATCGACAGGGCTGAAAGATTTGGCGGTAAGGTACGGGGAAAACGCCACAGTTGAAAGTCGGGCGGTGTCTCGGATTTGCTCACAGACGCGCGCGCCGGGGGCGGCTGCCATTGCGAATTTGCATGTCGCCGAGAGTGGTGGGGGTGGGATCCAATTGCTCACACGGCCCACCCGCACCCTGTATCCAACCATTGGTAAATTGTTAAGGTTTCGCTGAGGCTGTCTGTCGTTGTTCCTTGACCGACCTTGAGGGTTCCACAGTGGGGTGTTGCTGCTGAAGAGTCACCAAAAGCCACGGGAGCTATCGGGTTGAGTATCACGGATCAGTCCGTTGATAGAATATCTCGTGAAGTCGAATCAAGGAATACTAGATTGGACCTACTATTTTGAGAATAAGATCCATAGAAATCCGGTCATCTGCTCGCTGAAATTTTCTTGTCTCGCGCATCGAGAATGAAAAAGTCATTCTAAAATCCCTCGACGGAAGTTCTTACGATCGCGGTCAGCCTGGCTGCTTTAGTGTAGTTTCAAAGCAAATTCCTATTTGGGACATCGGCTCTGTCGCAGTCGGTTTGCATTGTATCTCCATCGCGTTCTCTCCGGTGCTTCACACTGACTATCTGAAGCAAAATCGGGAGTAAAAGAGCAATTAAAAAGGTCTGAACTGTAATGAAATAGAAAAATTCATCGAGGAGTGATGAATGGACAAGAGCATTTGGAAATGAGGCCGGGGCACGAAACAACGAAATCACGGCGAAGCTCCGCAAAATCCGGGGATAAGCGCGGGCCATTTCGCGATAACACGGGAGCTTTCCCTCTCGTCGTATTCTGTCGCATGCCGTTGCCCCACTCAAGCTACTTCTGCTCTAGTACACAGTACAGCACCTCTCACAGCGCTGTATCGAAGTCGAGACCTCCCCTTCTGAGGTGTGATGTCACCCATACCCTCCCAATGCCTTCCACCGTAGCTGTCGGTCACTGGTGCGTAAGCTCTACCCGAGTCCAGATGACATTGCGCAGCAAACTGTTGATGAGGTCGAGGTACCCGCGACATGGACGTGACCGAACCATCCGAACCGACCCCTTCTTTCTCTCACCTCCTGGGCCTCTTTCTAGAGGCAATCACTACCTGCCTCCTCGTTGGACCCCCGTTCCTTCCTGAGCTATCCTGTCCGTCCACTCATCAGCGCCGGCGCCCCCGTTCCCCCAATTATATTCGCATGATAATAAACCTGCTTCTGACCTCTCTCTCGTCCTGACTTCCTCTTCTTCCTGTGTATGTGTATTTGCGACGGCTTCACTCGCAACCTTCTTCTCTCCCTCTATTTCCGTATCCTCGAGAAGTACCCGGCCCTCCACTCTCAAGGTGTTCTCGCTCATACGCCGGAAACGGTCATTTGTGTCGCGCGACTGACGTTGCACCTACTCTCCTCTCCTACTGTTCTTTGAGCTAGCAACCCCTCTCAGCTCGCCTATTTGGTAAGTAGAGGTCTTCAACTTCTTTCGTCTACTCTATTCAACATCGTGTCATGTACGCCCATTGCCGGTGTCGCCTGCCTCCTTCGAGCTCGAGCTTCCATCGCGAAACTCAATTGCGCGCTCATCCAGCCTCTCGAGCTTATCGCAGGCGTCCTTCACTTTACCCCCCGACTGACTTCATCGGCCAGATATCCTTGCAGAAGAAATCCCACACCATCCAACCCTTCCGGTCCAGACAAACTGCGTCCCGACCACCATGTCATTCCTCTACCCTAGACAAGACACCCTCAAGGGATGCTTTGCGTCCCCCTTCGGCAGCCGTTCTAACAAGGCAGCGGAAACCACGACCATGGCGAAGCCTACGCGCTATCAGGCTCGTCCCGAGTTCTACGGCGCATTCTCCACCGTGGACGACGTCAAGGGCAAGGCGAAGCAGCTCAGCGCCGAGGCCACGGCCGAGTTTGAGAAGGCCAGCGCCAAGGCCCAGTCTGCGGCTGGCGGCAAGATTGAGCTGTACTCTGGAAAGTACTATGCTGCTTGCACCGTTGGTGGTCTCATGGCCTGCGTGAGTTCCCCTTGTCTTCCTTGACATTGACTCGTCGTTGTTGTCCATGACGGATGACCTCGTCTCCGCTCCGGGATCCCCACAACGGCGCCGAGCCCCGGCGCCGGGCCGCAACGGGCATTTGTGAGAACCGCTCCACTAATACCGAGTGCTAGGGCTTGACGCATACCGCCGTTACTCCTCTGGATCTTGTCAAAGTGAGAAGACAAATCGACTCCAAGCTGTACCGTGGAAACTTCCAGGCCTGGGGAATGATCTTCCGAAAGGAGGGTCTCCGCGGCATCATGACCGGCTGGGGTCCGACTTTCTGGGGCTACTCCGCGCAGGGAGCTTGCAAGTACGGATTCTATGAATACTTCAAAAAGGTAAGAAAATCTCCATCCATGCTGAATCTCTCATCCCAGTCCGTTGAAAGAAGCTTCGTGACTAATACGCGACTCTCAAGACCTACGCCGACCTCGCGGGCCCCGACAATGCCAAAAAGTACCAGACGATCCTCTTCCTCTCCGCCTCGGCCTCCGCCGAGTTCCTCGCCGACATCGCCCTCTGCCCCTTTGAGGCTGTCAAGGTCCGCATGCAGGGCGGCATTCCGTCTCCCTACAAGGGCACCCTCGACGGCATCAGCAAGGTCACGGCCAAGGAAGGATGGGGAGGCCTCTACAAGGGCCTGTACCCGCTCTGGGGCCGGCAGATCCCCTACACCATGATGAAGTTCGCCTCTTTCGAGACCATTGTCGAGATGATGTACGCCCGCCTCCCGGGCCAAAAGTCCGACTACAGCAAGGCCGCCCAGACAGGCGTGTCCTTTGTCAGCGGTTACCTGGCCGGTATCCTTTGCGCCATCGTCTCTCACCCGGCCGACGTCATGGTCAGCAAGCTCAACGCGAACCGCGCGCAGGGCGAGGCGTTTGGTGCGGCCATGGGCAGGATCTACAAGGACATTGGATTCTCTGGCCTCTGGAACGGTCTGCCCGTCCGTATCGTCATGATTGGTACCCTGACCGGCCTCCAGTGGATGATCTACGTGAGTGCCCATCAAAACGTTGCTGCGAGGAGTGGAGAACAGTGACTGACATGTGTGAACAGGACTACTTCAAGATCTTTATGGGCTTTCCCACCACCGGAGGAGCGGCTCCCCCTGCCGAGAAGAAGTAAGTGAGCAGATATACTGATGGTTGGGTGAAGGAAGAGCTGGACCATTGCAACCTGGGTTACCCAGCTGATATTATATGTATACTGAGGACCTCTCGAGGGAGTCCTCTTAGCTCTTACACTATTGTAACAATGAAAGAGTCTGTTTATAAATGAGTAGAAGGTCATGTAGCCTCGACTCTCATCCACTGCCCTATATAAGAGGTTAAATGCTTCTTATGAGACCTCGAGCCTCGTAATGCCCATGATCGCAGCAAGAGAAGACGTCCTCCGACCAAACCATGGATATATCACTCCAATAAGAGCCTCGCCATGACTCACTCTTGTCTCGCGTAGGACTCATTGTCAGAAGAACCGCGCTGGGTTGGGTCGCGATACCACATTACAGTTGACCTCGTATAACTATGGTTCCTGGTATCGACATGCTTCACAGAACCTCTGTCTGCTTTTGCTACCAATTCAAGAATATGTAGGAGGTACTTTGATTGCTAAGATACGTATGGTTGCCTCCGTTCCCAATGTTCATGGGCAACGTCAACCACTTTTGTGTTTTCTCCCGTCAAACTCGTATGCCCAGAGATCAAAATGCAACTATTGGGGGGGGGGGGGGGGGTGGGCAGTTGCACATCTGGCACGTTGTATTTTCGCGCTCTGCTCATCTCTGGGTTTGGACTATCACATAGTTCTTTTTTTTCCCCTCGTCGTCACCGGCGTCCCATCCCTGATATGTCTGTGTCTAAAGGGTTGTTGTTTTCCTGACTTGACTGGCTTTTTCGGGGATAATCAAATTTGGACGGGATCCGATTTCTGACGGGAAGCTATACACTGCTGTGCCCGTACGGTAAGTGCATCTGCAGTTATCGTATGCTACTTCCAGCAGGCATTTAGATTGTAAGAGATCTACGATGCGGACGGGGATGATGGGGATGGAGGGATTTCATGAAGAAGACGAAGAGAATCCCGGCCAGAACGGAAAAGGATCATGGAGCAGAGACGGGAAGCGTAGACATTATCGGTTTGAACAAAGTCCTTCAATCCAAATCAGAATCAGCATCGAGTATTGAATACTGCAGCTATTTCCAAGCCCCAGTCTTCCGTCTAAAGCTAATGCCGACTATCAACGACCGGACTGCGTCACCTGTTTGGTTGACGACGGAACGAATGCTGTCTTGCTAGCACATTCGTCTTTGCAACAACAAAAAGAAGAAAAAGTCTCAACGTGGCCTTGGTTCTTGTCCTTCGAGGTTCAAGCTTCGCGTTTGGGTTTGTCTCAACGTGCCATACGAAGGATAGTACCGTGTCAAAAGGTGCCAAACCCACACGATGAAGAATCAGACAAGCAAATCAGTCAACTCAGTGCACCAGGTGACAATGCTGACCGACTTGTCAGAATAGCCTTACATGACACTAGAAAACAGTAGCTCCAACAGAAAAACATAGTTTCAAGGTGGACGAGAAAAAAGGCCAGGCCCGGACGCCGGCGACGCCGGTGCGGGATACCACTCCACCTGCAGAGCGACTTAGCCGTCCGAACTTAGGCGCGGGGGACGCTCCGGCAGTCGTGCGCCGGCACCGGTAAAGGTCTCTCTGGAGTTGGACGGATAAGACTTCTGAGGCCTGACCCCCTGTACCTGGCCCCTGAAGGGCCGAGACTGCTCGAGTCTTGCAAAGTAAAACTTGGAGCGACGGATCGAAGAGTCAAGAGCAATCATTCGTCATTTCACGGTGCTTGGACGACCGTGGGGGAAAGGTCACCGAGGGATACAGGGCATGACGTCCATGTCTTCCAGAAGTTCGTGGGAATCGGGCCGGTACGGGAGCGTGTGGAGGGCGCTGACCTACCAGAAACCGCCAGAGTGCTGCACATTTTGGATGATGGAGCGCGGGTGATATTAGAGGTGGCCTCCGCGAATCGGTTGGCTGCGATACCCTACCTAATGTAGTGCCTGTTGGCCAAAGATGTCCGATGGATTAAGCCAAGTAAGCCAAGGCACGCCACGAGCGAGGCACAACGAAGATAGCTTAAGACACAGTAGCTAAGCGGCATTGGCGTTGAACGTCTGCCTTTCCCTTCGGCCGCACTAGCCTCCCGTAAACAATGCAATGTCCCCCGAAATTGTTTCCGTTCGGGAGCTTTTCGTCGAAAAGTGACGAGGGGCTCTTGGGGCCGGCCCATGGATGATACCTGTTATTGCTGCGGAGTTGTTGAGGAGGTGAGGGTTTGGGAGTGAGCGTTCAGGATGGGCCATGATGGAGTGGTTTCGATCGGACATGGATGCGACGAAGGTGCAGCAAAGGAGCGAATGGGTGTGATGCTCATTGGCAATGTCGATTGGGCACTCTGTCGGTGTCGAGCGGATATCCCCCGCATAGATGCTGGCTGGGTGCAATAGCGTTCCCCATGCCTGGTGGGAGGGATATGCTGGAGCAAGGGGAGGCGAACAGCAGCAGATCGACAGAGCTTTGCTCCACTGCTGTGTTTGTGAAAAGACTCGGCGTGTGTCGGAGGGGAAAGACGGGAGGCATGTCTTAAGATGGACCGAATAAGCACGGGAGGTGAGTTGACGAATGAGCTCGGGTCCAGCAGCGTGGATGAAGGTAACAACGGCGTCGTCACCCGCCCAGCTAGACACGGAATCGGACCAGTAGCGTCGAGCCGTCGTTCCTCTCACACCAACCGCGATGCAACAATGTCTTTCGGGGTGGCTGCACCGCACCAAGAGATCCAACACGGCGGAGAGGCCTGTGTAGGGGTATCGAGGTAGTCGTATGTGGCACTGGCCTGACATGACAGGTCGACCAGCTGTTCATTGGTGCTCGCTCTCGCCCGTCGTAGTGAATCTGCCATATTCAGGTAAGGCGGGTTACGTTGCGTTGGTGTGCAATTCGCAACTCGCAACCTGTAAGAGAGAGGGGTCATGTCTGGGTTGCCTACCGAGACGCTCCTGTACGAGTCGCATGCAGTTGCGGTAAGGCTTCGAAGCATGGAACGAGGAGCCGAAAGAAAGACAAACGCTACAGGGACTCTGGCAGTTCATCAGGCCAAGGTTGTTGGCCGTGTCAAGAGGAGGTTGCAGAAAGCCTGTCCTGGACGATGTCCGTCTCATCGATCGTCGAGAAAACGGCAGTCTGCAACACCAACGACTCAGGAAGAACGCCTCTTTTCCCGGGGTGCGGGGACAATTTCAGACTTGAAGTCGGCAGCTAAGGCGCTGTAGTTTGTAGACTACAGATGTGTAAGCCGTCGGGTGCTTTTTCCCACCAAATAGAAGGCCTTGGAGAGCGCCCTCATCCCCGATTGAGCAACCGGCGTTTGAGGGGCAACAGAGCTTCGGCCGGTCTAGGGCGGCTAGGTTTGATGGGTAGAAAAGCAAGTGACTGACTAACAATGATTGAATTAGCAATGGGCTGCCCGGTTACCCTTGAGACTGAATGTTTGGGTGTTTGGACGGATAGTTCAGCAGAGTTCCAGATACTCTTCGTGACCACACGACCTCGGAGACATGCCGGGAAGGGATAGTCGGCCTGGGAAGCCATGTTCATACCCGAAGCGCCTGTGTTCGGGGCTGTGTGTTTTGGACATTATTGGCAGCTAGGCCGAGCGACTTTCGGCCCCCCACGTAGCGTGTATACCTCGGGTGCTGTTGTGCCGCAGGCTGCCAAAGGTTCTCGGGTACAAGAAAGCGACCGAATTGCGGAGGACGTGTAGGCGATGGTGACGGGCGGTCGTCTGTTGTTCAAAATTAAGGGTCGTGATCTATTGACAACTTGACGTGCAAAGTCTAAGCAAAAGGGCATGTTGAGCGCAGATCCTCACCAGCCGCGGTGTTTGGATCGAAAACGGGAGCCATTGAGCAGCATCAGCAGGCCTCCAGGCTGAAAGACGTCGATATCGGGATCCAATCAAGGGCGCGTCGGACGTGAGGGTGCCATCAACAACCTTGAAACCCAGGGCAGCAGTCGGGCGAGACAGATTAAGCAAGCAGGATGTCTACCGTATAAGGTACCTTAGGTGAGGTCAGGCCGATAGCGAGCGCCACGAATAGACAAAGCTGGAAAGGCAGAATGGACGGGACCAGGATAGAGGAACCGACGGCCAGCCCAGGGTAGCGTTCCAGCGGACCGTCGTGTCGGGGCATGGCAGGCGTGGTGGACATGCAACGATGACGGCGACGGGGTTCCTCTGGTGGTTCTTCCCGGGCGGGTGAGGGTGCGGCCTTTTGTCTCACAGTTCACATAATCAGACCGCTGGTGGCGTCTTTCCCACGGCGAGTTGAAGAGTGGTGGGTGAGGTAAGCGGAGAAGTATTTCGGGCTCATGTGGGTATCGTATTTCCATCAGAAGGTCGCGTGGAGGTACAGGGATCGGATTTGGACCGTCTCGATACATGGGCGGTTATTCTGATTCCCATTTCCTTTCCTGCCCACTATCTATTCCGCCGTGATGGCTGGAAGCCGCCGGAAGCTGGATGGCGGATGGGCGCTGGGTGTATTCTGTACAGTGGAAATATGGATAGGTACGCCAGAGACAACCCGACAAGCAGGATGCTGGGTGCTGGGTGCTGGGTGCTGGGCGAACCGTGACCGAATCGACAGGGACCTTGCTACACATAGCCCTGGCGGTCCTGGTGTCTGGTCGGCAGTGGGTCAAAGTGCGGAGAGCGAGGGTGCTCACATGGCAGGCTGTTAAGTGCTCCGTGCCTTGATGTTGGTCAGCAAGGCGGTTGGGCGAAACGGACGAGTTGGTGGAAACTGGGCAAGGATGGAAAGGACCATCTTAATGGTACTCTCAACGCTATCAGAAACGGCCTCTCTTGAGAGTGCTAGCTAGCCGTGGGCTGTCAATGAAGGTTTCGAAAAAAGAGGTCGTATATATATATATATATGTACAGTACGTGAGCAGGCATACCAACGACAAAAGCAAGTAGTTGTGGTAGTTCGTAGTGGGAGGAGGCTCAGGCTTGCGGATGGCTCCCGTCTGGGCAAAAAGGCTCCTGCAGCAAAGAATGCCTCGCCCTATGGTGGAATATGGTATGGAAGGGTTGTTCTGCATGCTGTTGTGTGAGAGAGGCTGAGCTTGTCTTGTGCCCAGGCTGGCTTGGCTGCGGTGTAATCGTCTTGCGTACGAAGTATATGCCCGGCCAAAGTTACTCGGGGAGGGAGGGAGAGAGGAAGCCTGACCAATCCGTAGTTGGATGATGCGTCGTTGGCGTGCTGCAGAACATTTGCTCTAGGTATCCCACCATGGCCAGGTCTGGTCATGCTAGGAGGAGAGGACGCGGCTGGCGAGCAGTACGTCGCATGTCTCAGTCCGGGGGAGCATTCTGGGAGGATTGTCGAGTTGCCAGAGAGACAAGGCGGATATGGAAGTCAGCTGGGGACGGGTTGGACCAGGAAACATATCGTCTGACACACAAAGTGCAGTCAGTTTCACGAAGGCGATGGAATGCAGATGTTGTTGAACACTGAAAAGAGGAGGTACGTACAGTGTTCATAGGGTAGGTGCCTATCTTAGGTACCTCAGAATGCTGGAACCGACAGGACGGGCAGGAGGCGACGACAGACAGCCGTCGGTCGCAATTCGGTAAAGTGTTAGTGCTGCCAGTCACATTGCAGTCACAGTTGCAGGCAGTTTCCCCCCTTCCACCTGCAATTCGCCTCGTTGGTTGGAAGCGCCGCCAGGAATACCCAGCACTTCATCCTCGCTTCTTCGCACCCAACCCTCAACTTGGATTCATTGACAACGTTGGTTGCGCTCTCTGTCACCTGGGCTTGGTGACGGTGAGAGACCGAGCACGGCAGGTGTGAGCAGAGCATCTCAGAGAGAGGGGGAAGGGAGAAGAAAGATAGCGTCATGCCGGCCGTTATCTCCGTCCGTCGTCCGTCGTGGGCTCAGTTTTGTCAGGTCTACCTTACCGTTGTCAACCTGCCAATCCGTAAGTCCACCTACCTAAGGAATATGCGATCCACTCGCAGTCCACCATGGAAGTGCTAACAATACGTACCTTGGGTAATGTGCAACTGCGGCGTGATCCTGCCTTGAAGTCTTCGTACCTTGGTCGGATCACGGGTCTCCAGCCTCTTCCAATTGCTGCCCGCCATCGGTAAGGTACGTATGTGGGTACGGAGCCTTGTAAGATACGGAGTACTTACTTCGTAGTGTATCCGTAGGGTTAGCCTGTCAGGAAAGGACTTACAAGTTGTTGTTCTATGTGCATGCCACCTCTTCTTCTGGAGGCATCCTTTTATCCGTCCTCGTCACTTTTCTCCTCATTCCTCCACTTCTGCCCCAATCGCTTATCCAAAAGTGACAAAGTATCCGCACCTTACCACCGACCACCAGCAGGAGGGGGAAAAAAATAAAAGAAAAATACTTACTCATGCGTCTGGAGAGAAAAAGACGCCAAACTTGCTCCAGCCTCTCCATGCCACCCCCTGGTCGGAAACCCCATGTCTGGCCTGTCTAGCCCTGCACTCGAGAACGAACTAGCCCCCTTTCTGTGCACTGCAACCCTTCGATTCCTTCCACCGACCTCCACCTTCCCTCCACTGACACCGTCAGGTTGTGGGTTGTCCATGTGGGGCCCCCTCGTCCTCGGTGTCCTCCCCACCACTCGCAGTCAGCCATTAACAAGAGTCACCTTCTTTTCCGTACTTGCGTACCGCTACTTGCAGTAGTCGCTCCCGGCGCCGTGTGTCCATGGTCTCCTCCGTGCCTTAGCTCGCAATGAAGTTCGCAGACTCCCGTCACTCAGGTCTATGTACGCCGTAAGGTATGCAGTCGGTATCCATAAGGTACGGCTCTGGTCTGTCGCCTGCCTGTGCTAGCTGAGAGTGAGAGGTGCAGCGTGCCCTGTCACCCATCGTCTGTCCGTCTGTCTGTCGCAGTCGCAGTCGCTGTCGCTGTCCCGTCCCTGTCGCGTATGCCACTACGTACCCAATCCAGGCTCTCCAACCCACAACCTCGCCTCCATCCTCCTTGTTACTTGCGCCCATCAACCCCAGGACCCCAGGTCTAACGTCCAAATCCCGCCCAGGGCTCCTCCGTCTTTTACCTACCTTGCTCTCACCCACGCAGCTGCTAGGTACCGCAGGCTACGCCTGTTACCAATCCTCCCTTCCTCTTCTTCATCCACTTCCCACATTGTCCCTCATCATCATCATCATCTTACTCCTCCTCCTCTTTCCGCTGCCAACACGGCTGGGTTGAGAGTCTGTGTCCTGACAAATGCTGCTTCCACCACCGTTGCCCGCATCCAATCTTCCCTGACACCTCTCGTCCCTCTCTCTTCCCACCCTGCCTTCACAGACCACCCGTATCTTCGGCCGAATCCCCGAGGGAAACGACCCCTACTCCTCTGCGCCACAATCGCGCGCATCTCTCGAGTTCCCTCGAACACACGATAATACCTCTCCCCGCGTCTTTCCCACAGTGTATCCTTCATCACGACGTCAATTGTCTATCGCATGGTACATTTCGCCATATCTGCGCGTCCGCCGTGAGCTTGTCTCGCCCAGACATCACCCTTCAAGCCAAATCCACGACCCCAACAAGTCGCCAATATGGCTGGCTTCTTCAACAAACTGAAGAGCGCGGGCAATGTGCGTTACCTCCCCTCGTCAGTTCTTTGATCATGCCCTCTTTAACGCGGGTCCTGGAATCTTCTCTCCTCTGCTGCTGCTGCTCGCGCGTTCTTCTGGCTGACAGACCTCGTCCTTCACAGACCACCTCGATTCCAACAAGCAAAGATGTGCCTAGCAAAAAGGTCAAGGAGGAGCCAGCGCCGGAGCTCACTCCTCTGGAAAAGATGCTGCAAAACGCTGGTCCATTGAGGGAAGACGGAACTGACAAGTTCTTCGGTCTGGAGAATGTAAGTTTTCGAAGCCACACCCGGCCTAGCGACCGCCTTTCCCGAGACAACGAATGCTGACTGAACTCGTAGTTTGGTAACACCTGGTAAGTGATGCTATCATCACTACTTTATCTCTCATTTGCTGACGTATCTGTAGTTATTGCAACTCGATTGTTCAAGCATTGTTCTATTCAGAATCCTTCCGAGACCACGTCGTCAAGTACCCCACACTATCACCTACCGATACCCCGAACGGAACTCGACCAAAGGTGAATGTGACGATCCGACCGCCAGTCGCGAAAGAGCCCCCGAATACGCCAGGAGCGAAACAGAAAGGCCTGAGTGCATCGGAATCCATGAAGCGCAGGCAGGCCATCACAGCTGGAATGCCACCTCCAGGAGCGCCGGGCATACGACCTGAAGACAAGCCTGATTCGCCAGAGTACAAGAAGAAACATGCCATGATCAAGGGACCCATTCTCGAGCTGGCGCAAGAGAATCCTTCCGCTTACGGCATGGAAGAATGCACCTTCACCGGCCTCAAGGACATCTTCCAGGCCCTTATCGAGAGCAATACCAGGACAGGCGTGTTGAGCCCACAGCGATTCCTGGAAATCTTCAAACGAGACAACGAGATGTTTCGAAACTCGATGCACCAGGACGCTCACGAGTTCTATGGTCTCGTCTTGAACGATGTCATCTCCAACGTGGAAGCGAATGCCAAACGAATTCAAGAGCGACAGGCCGAGAATAAAGACGGACTGATCCAGTCAGTGGAGAACGCTCTTAGCGCGACCAGTCTGATAAACCGACCAGTGAATGGTGTGGGATCCCCCGGAACCGGCTGGGTTCATGACATCTTTGAGGGTGTATTGACTTCCGAAACCAAATGCTTGACCTGCGAAACGGCCTCGCAAAGAGATGAGACGTTCCTGGATCTGTCCATTGACCTGGAGGAGCATTCATCAGTTACGTCTTGCTTGCGTAAATTCTCGGCCGAGGAGATGTTATGTGAGCGCAACAAATTCCACTGCGACCATTGTGGTGGGCTTCAAGAGGCGGAAAAGCGCATGAAGATTAAGCGTTTACCAAAGGTTCTTGCATTGCACCTGAAACGATTCAAGTATACCGAGGATTATAGTCGACTGCAGAAGCTCTTCCATCGGGTCGTCTATCCGTACCATCTGCGCATGTTCAACACTACCGACGACGCAGAAGATCCCGATCGACTCTATGAACTATACGCTGTCGTTGTTCATATCGGCGGAAACGCCTATCACGGCCACTACGTATCAGTGATCAAGACAAAAGATCGGGGTTGGGTTTTGTTTGATGACGAGATGGTGGAACCGGTCGACAAACATTTTGTGCGAAACTTCTTTGGGGACAAGCCTGGCATGGCTTGTGCATACGTCCTCTTTTATCAAGAAACCACCTTCGAGAAGGTACAAGCCGAGATGGAGGCCGAGGGCCTGGAAGAGGTCAAAATTGCCAGTGAGGCCGCTAATGTTGCTCATGAAAATGGCCAGCCAAACGGCACGACACCACTCTCGAAACAGTTTACGCAGCCAGTCAGCCCTATCGAGGAACGAGAGCCGCTGCCCAGCCTGGCACATGCACAGACGGCCCCAGGCAAGGTGGATGCTCCGCCATCCGAGAAGCTTCCTCCCCCTGTGACAGATACACCGGCCACTCCTGCTGTCCCCCCTATTCCATCCAGCCTCGCCAGATCAAACACGGGCGCCAAGGCAGACAAGTCTAAGGAAGACAAGAAGCGGGAGAAGAAGGAGCAGGAAGCAGCGGATAAGGCCAGGAAACAAGCCGAGAAAGAGCAGGAAAAGCTCAAAGACAAGGAACATCGAGAGAGCATGGCCAGGGCGAGAACGGCTCATGCACGAGAAGCAGAAGATATGCGCAGAGCGATCAAGGCCAGCATGCAATCAGCAGAAGGGGACACCAAAAAGAAGGAGTCGTCAAGCTCAGGCAGTTTCCTCAACCGATCCAGTCGGGCAAGCAAATCAATGAGCAGGAAGAGTTTCGGATTCCTCAGCAAAGACAAGGACAAGGCCGAATCGCACCAGTCATCCGAGAATGGGCACGCCAGTCCAGAAGGCATGCCGAGTCAACCTGAGAAGCCCAAAGAGTTGAGGGAGCGATTCAGTTTCAACCTCGGCCGGAAGAAGAGCGGCAATCTGCTGTCATGAGGTGGCGCATGAGGTTCCAACGATTCATCTGAAGATTTTGGTATTTGACCGTACATACAGTAAAAAAAAAGGGGCGAAGAGCAGGATCCTGTACGATGTACAACCCACGCAGCTAACGTTGGGTGCGCATCTTGTCCATCGGCCGTCTGGACGTTTGGGGGATTGGGGAGATGGTGGCATGCGCAGATACCCAGGCATGGAGTGGTTTGCTTGGATAATACTTTTTTCACTTAATGATGCAAAAGAGGAATACGTCGTGATGAAGGCATCTTGAGCGTTAGTTACTTTCTCATGGCACCTACATCATCGGGCTGTATGATAGCACAAGATGTGACCAACAAAAGACAGTACAGAGCACGCAAGGGCAGAAAGGCTCTCTCAAGGTCCAATGCTCAATCGGTTTGAAACAATGCAATCATCCTCCTCAGCTGTTTGTGATATTACACTCGCCGAGCTTTGCAATGCTACCCAGGATATTTTTAGATAAGGGAAGATATACATACGTGGATGCCATTGACAGGCAAAACCCCATCCGCCCTTCCATCCTGCAACGCCGGTTCGTTACCATGATGACATGCTGTGCGATGGAAAGTCCAAGCTCATATATGATGCATTAAAGAGCAGCAGCCCCCTTCATTTTTTTCTGTCTTTCTATCTTATTTCCTATATCCCGACCGACGTTTTACCCGAGGATGAGTTCGTACAGGATGATGATGGTGTTGATTCCGATCAAAGGTACTATAAAGAGTAGTCAGCAAGGGCGTTTCATTGTAGAAAGTGTCGCGCGTATTCAGAGAGAGGGTATCGAGACACGTACTTCTCATAAGTGTCCGTACGCTGGCAATCAGGTTGATGATCTTTGCCTTTACGCTTGCGTCATTGCTCGAGCCAAAGGTCGGGTCGTAAGAGGAGGGGGATAGGTTGACTGCAAGGAAGTCGCGGTTAGCTATTATATGTTCCTTTTCCGAAGGTCGGCAATGTTGCTGGGTAGGGTTAGCCGGGGACGTACTGCGCGCGAGGAAGCGGTCTTCGGAGAGGACGGCGATGGCGTTGATGAGAAGGACGGCGACTGGAGGAGGAATGTCAGTTTATGCGGGAAAGCTCCGAGGGGCAAATGGTTTAGGGCGGACATACTGTAGAGGAAGTTTCCTAGGATGTACATGTTGGCGGTTTTGATGTTGGCTTGGAAAAGCCCTGGGCGCGCCAAATTGCGGGTTTGGTGTTGTTGTGTCCTTTCTGTGGGTAGAGCTTGTAGGTAAAAGGGGGTCTGGTAGCTCTCGTCCTTCGAATTGAAGCCAGGTGGTGATGGTGTTGCGCTGCGCTGTCCAGAGCTTACCTTAGGAGGGATGGGATGCGCCGTCAGAGGTGGGGAGGCGTATTTGATCCGTTCCGAAGGAGAATCCCTGCAAGAGGTAGGTAATCTGTAAGTAAGGCAGCCTGTCACTCTGTCCACACTGCAGGAACGGCGTGGCTGGCCCCCCCCAAGTTCCTAACAGACAACTTGCATTGAGTGGGTGCTGGGCCGTGCACGGACGCTCAGAGCTTCACCCTTTCAATGGCATTTGGATCTGCACGAGACGCCAGCTTACACTTGCTTCAAAGTGAATAGGAGCAGAAATCGTGAGAAGCGAAAGAATTGAGGGTCATATGAGGCAAGGGAAAGCACAGGGCAAATTGTTTCAAAACTCACTTCTCGTTCTTCAACCCCATCTTTTTCTTGCTTCTTATTCACCTAGATCTTTTCTGTTCTCTGTGTATCTTCCAACAATGAGATAGTCACACCCGACAACACACTCCTTCACCTGCCTTTTTACAACGACATCTCACAATGAAGCTCCTAGGTAATTCAAACAAGAACCCACCCCATTTCTCATCACAGGTCAGAAAAAGAGAACTTACCAGTTGCCCTCAGATACCGCCCTCCTGGGCCTCATCCCAGCCCTCATCACCCTCCACCTTCTCCTGGCTCCAGACACAAAAGTAGAGGAATCCTTCAACATCCAAGCCACCCACGACGTCCTCGTCTACGGCACGCCAACCCACGACGTCGCCGCCCGTCTGAAGGCCACTTACGACCACTTTGAATTCCCCGGCGCCGTACCCCGCACCTTTGTCGGCCCCGTGCTGCTCGCCGGCCTCGGCGGGCCCCTCGTCAACCTCGTCGGCTTCGCCCACGCCCAGCTCGTCGTCCGCGGACTGTTGGGCCTCGCCAACGCCGCCGCCCTCGTCGTGTTTGCCAGGAGCTTGAGGAAGGGGATGGGCGAGGGCGTCATGAGGTGGTGGGTTCTGTTGCTCGTCGGCCAGTTCCACGTCATCTTTTATGCGTCGAGGACGTTGCCCAATATGTTTGCCTTTGCTCTGAGTGAGTTTCTATCTCTTCTAACCCCCTTTTCTTTACCCCCTCGCGAAATCCAAGGATCCTAACCAAAACCCTTACAGCAACCCTCGCATCCGCAAACCTCCTCCCAAATCAATCCCCGCAATCCAACCTCCCGCGCCTCCGCGTAGCCCTCTCCCTCCTCGTCTTCGCCGCCGCAATCTTCCGCTCTGAAGTCGCCCTCCTCCTCGCCACGACGGGCCTCCACCTCCTCCTCACCCGCCAGCTCACGATCCCCGAACTCGTCCGCCCCTTCTTCATCGCCTTCGCCGTCGCCCTCGCCGTCTCCGTGCCCCTGGATTCGTACTTTTGGCAAAAGCCCCTCTGGCCCGAGCTCTGGGGCTTCTACTACAACGCCGTCCTCGGCTCCTCGTCCAACTGGGGCGTCTCCCCCTGGCACTACTACTTCTCCTCCGCCCTCCCGCGCCTGCTCGTCAACCCTCTAACCTTCACCCTCCTGATCCCGCTCGCCCTCGCGCAGCCGGGCACCTCCCGCTCCGCCGCGGGACTCGTCATCCCGCCCCTCCTCTTCGTGGCCATCTACTCTCTCCAGCCGCACAAGGAAGCCCGCTTCGTCTTCTACGCCGTCCCGCCCCTGACCGCCGCCGCCGCCCAAGGCGCACACTTCATCTTTACCCGCCGCGCCAAATCCGCCCTCTACGCGCTCGGCTCCCTCCTCCTCGCCGTCAGCGTCCTCGCCGCCCTCGCCGCCTCGACGGGCATGCTCCTCCTCTCCTCCCTAAACTATCCCGGCGGCGACGCCCTCCGCCAGCTGCACGCCCTCGTCGCCGCGTCCCCCACCAGCTCCTCCGTCACGACAGTTCACACCGGCGTGCTGAGCTGCATGACAGGCGTCACCCTCTTCACCCAGAACCGCCTCGGCCTGCCCAAGAACCCGCACTCCCGCGCCCTCGAGACCTCTCTCCAACAACAACAACAACAGGATTCCTCTTTCTCTTCGTCCTCGCCAGGCACAGACCCGATCCTCGCATTCGATAAAACAGAAGACAAATCCATCCTCTCCGACCCGGGCTTCTGGTCCCGCTTCGACTACGTTCTCGCCGAGGACACGGCCTCCGTAAAGGGCGGCCAGTGGGAGACGGTGGGCGTCGTGCAAGGGTACGCCGGCATCGAGGTCCTGAAGCCGGGTTCCGCGACGTCGTCTGAGGCCGGGGATGAAGAAACAGGAGAGAACAAGATCTTGGGTAGAGGACTTGCTGTAAAACGTGTCCGGGATTTCGTGCGGGGCGTGACGGGCGGCTGGTGGGTTGGGCCGCGGATGGAGCCGCGGATACGCATCATGAAGCGGGCCAAGGATGTTGCCGGCGCCGGCGCCCGCATCGTGTCTTCATAGATGGTATGGTGTCTCTGTAGATAAATAGTGTGTGTAAGAATACAAAAAGGCCTAGGAACACACCATGACTTGGCACGACGCGCGGACGTGATGTGATGGCACCACTTGATCGCTTGTACGAAGAGAGGAAGGGCGCAAGTCTCAGTTGATGGAAGACAATACTAGGTATTTCAATCGTTTCATACGCCGTGCGGTGTGCTCCGGCTTTGTGGCAACAAGACAAGAGCAGACACTATCCTACCACAAAACGCCAACCGTTGCAAGCAAGGCCTCGTTTCCTCTCTCTCTCTCTCTCTCTCTCTCTCTCCAACACCAACAATAACCGTAACTACTGTCAATGCCAATACCACTGTATCACCAACCAACCCTTCCGCAATCCCAAAATCACTACACAAGTTTTTTTGTTTTCGATCCATGCCAATACACAGTCCGGCCCCGTCCTTGCCGTGATCCCAATCCGCCCACCCTGCCCTGTCCCAACCACCGCCTTTACCTCCATCCAACACGCCTTCCACGACCAGCCGGTCGGAGCAGCTCACTAGCCCAAGCCCTGGGTAACCCAACTTGCTGAAGCAATGACATACGGAAAGCAGTTTTTGGTCAAAACTGCGGCTCGCTAAATTTGTCTGGGTGTCGTAATCGCATGATACAGTAATGGAATATGTATATAAGAGGCGCCTTGTTTCCCCCCCTGAAAGAAACGGGTATCCAGGTATTGTTGTTGTTGTTCTCGTTCGTATTGTTATTGCTTTAGTGGTAGACGGGATGCTGTCTCGCGTCGTAGGTATGCTATATGAGGTCGCAGCAAGGGAATCATGAAATGAACGCTCGTCACGCTTCTCTCATTCCGTTTCGCTCCCGTCGTCTTCAGTGTCGTTCAACTCGCCATACAACGCCTTGTACCGTGCCAGCTCGGCCATCTGCTTGGCAACCTGGTCAAGGATGTCACTCATGGGACCTCGCATGTCCTCAAGTTGTTGCAGTGGAGCGCTGCCGAAAGAAATGTGGCGAAGCGACAAACTCGTCACGCAGGTCTATCAATCTGTTAGCCAAGGTCCTTCACAAACAAGTCTGTTCCATGACTTACCTCTATTCTGCTCACTTGATGCTCCATGAAGTTGAGCAGGAACCGTTCCGTGACCTCACCTCCTCGGTGTTTCATTCTCTCCAACAACTCTGTTTCGGGTGGCTGTAGGCCCTGGCCAGAGACATTTTCTAGAGAGCTGCACAGCATCTCCAGCCGTAAGCTGACACGCCACAAAGCCCAAATTGATTCGGTGTCGAAAGCCAACTCGCTGCCTGCTTGGAGAATGGCGGGTTTGTCGACCTCGGTCCGTTGTTCGTGTTGTTGATGATGCTCGATACGGCCTGCAAGTGCATGTGGGTACAAGGAGTATACAACTTCCGGGTTCTCAAGGCCTTTGAGCTTCTTCTCACCCATTTCCTTGACCTCAAAGCCTTGAGAGCTGAGAGAGCGCAGGTCTTTTCGAATCGCCGAACCCATCTGATCGTCATCAAAGGTATCTTCGGATCCAGTCGATCCGTTTCTATCTGTGTCCTGATAGTTCTCCAGACAACGCTGAATCTCTGAAATGAAATCAGATGAAACGGTGATTTGTCCACCGTCAGCAACGGACGAGATACGAGAAGCTTTATTGACCATTGGACCAAAGTAGTCCATACGTCTCGTAACAGGGTCCATCTCACTGACCGCTTCACCAAAGTGAATGCCCATGCGTACGGAAAGACCCTTGAAGATCAGGGCATTGTCCTTGTCGTAAAGTGCCTGGCAGGAAACAGAGTTGATAACTTCGGAAGGCCAATTGACATCGAGCAACGACATCTGAACGGCAAAACACCAGAGCAGTGCCGATGTGGCTGTCGGGAAAGAGACCATGAACGCATCTCCTTCAGTCTTCACTTCGTATCCACCAATTCTTCGTAACTGCCGACGCATGACCTCGTTATGCAGCTTGATTGCAGATCTCATGGCAGCGGGATACATCTCCCACAGAGTAGTCGAGTTCTTGATATCAGTGAAGGCGATGGAAACGTTGCCTGTCGGCGCTGGAATCTCAGCCTCGAGACGTTGTAGACTTGAGTCGAGAACGTCGGCCTTGTTCCTCTTGCCTCTTCGCATGGGCTGCTGGAGGTCTTCCGGTACGCCTGAGGGGTACAGAGACATACTCTGACCACGATGAAGCCTGGACCGTTCAACCCGTCTCTTAAGGTCGGCGACGCTCATCATCATGACCATGATCTTGTTGGTGGCACCATAGGCGATGGCCAAATCACGAAGCTTTTGCGATGCTCTCATCAAGTCACCGCGCTCCTGCCTTGCAAAGTCAACCACCAGAGCGGGATCCAAGTACTCCCAGAACTCTCTGGTGGCAATCAGGATAATGTCATCCTGCTCACGAATCGTGAAGTTGCTGACATAGGGAGCGGCTTGGACCGCTGGCATCAGGTCTACGTAGCCGAAGGCCCTGGAAACCTCGAGCAGGTCGTTCAGTCTGCCATTGCGTGAGACCCAGCCTCCGGCTTCACGAATCCGTTGGCGCTCGCTTGGTTCTGCTGGGTCGTGCTTTCGCGTAAGGATCTTGTGAGAGCCATCGGTTTGGATCAGCATAGCCTGAGCATCGCCCACGTTGGCGACGTAGAGCTCAGTGTTTTGAAGATAAACCACGGTGGCAACACCACCAGAGTTGAGATCCTCCTTGCTCAACACAACTGGCGTTGCAGAGCCTCTATGCGTCTTTTGCGAGCGCTCTTCAGTGTGTTGGATGGCGATGGTGACGAGGTCCTTGTTGAGAGACAAGAAGGCCCGCCTCAGAGCATCCGCTGGTGTCTCATTGAGACGCGTCTTGAGGCCCTTCAACTCCATGCCAAAGATGTGGCCAAAGTTCTCATGCAGATACTTGGCAATCTTGGAGCCTCCACTGGAGAGAGCCTGTCCGTCAAACAAACCAAGCAAAGTCTCAGTCTCTGTGGAGTTGTATCGAGGCACCACGAGATCGATGGTCGACAAGTGCTCATTCTTGCCCAGCGTGTCGGCCATACCATATGGGAGATGACCGGCAAGAGAACCTGACGTTCGCACACGGCGATCCTCGCTTTGATCGGGAATTGTGGGCTGTGTGAGGGTGACATCCATGAGACCCAAGACCCTTAGATTCGAAAGCCTGTTAAAGTCGGCGAGCGATTCTCGATTTGTCACCGCCGGACCAACAGTGGTCTGTTTGATCTCCAAACGCTTGTTCCCCGAAAGGTTGAGGTATCTGAGGTTGGGGTTGAGGTTCCAGTTCCAGTCGTAAGGAACGTTGGAGATGTTGTATTTCAAGGAGTTGCTACCACAGTCCAAGACCGCAAGCTTCTTAGCCCTGGAAATGTCGGCCGGCAAGTTGGTGAACTTGTTCCCATTGATATGCAACACCTGCAGCAGACTGGCGTCTTCGAGATCATCAGCCGGGAGCGTGGTCAGCTCGTTACCAGAAAGGTAAAGTTCCACCATCTGGGGCCAGCTCTTGATCGATCTTTGTGGCATGTCGTTGATGTAATTCCAGGACAAGTTGAGGACGCGTAGCTCGTTGAGCATTGTGATCTGGTCGAATACTTCATCGTCAAGCTTGTTCTCAGCCAAGTACAGGTTGCGCAGAGATCCGGCAAAAGTCGTGTAGAGTCTCGACGACAGACTGGAGTCTTTCCTTGCGGTCGCAGAAGGTGGAAGCGGTGGCACAGTGCCGGCCGATGTGGACCTAGACACCACTGACGTCTTGCGGCCACCCTTACCATAGACTGACACGACAGAACTCTTCCTGTCACCACCGCCTGGTACAGGCGACGGCCCAACGCTCAACAACGTTGATGATGAGTTCTGGCTCGGTCTCCTGGACGGATCCGGTGATTCTTCCAAGGGAGATTGGGCGATGCGCTCCATCGGGTTAGCCTTGTTCACGGCAGCTGGCGTTTGTGCTTCTTCGCCTGATGGCCGTGGTTGTCTGGAGCCTGGCTTGGGGAAGTTCTCCAGAATGTTGGAAGATGCGTTGAGAGTCTCGAGCTTGTTGGCCCACCACAGCTCCATTGGCAATTTCCTGATGTTGTTCCTCCGCACGTCCAACACTCGCAGCTCTGTGAGACATCCTATTGATGGCGGAAGTTCCGCTACGTTGTTGTTGGCAATGCTGAAGTGTTCCAGCTTGCTGAGATTTCCGATGAGTGGCGGCAAGGAAACGAAGTAGTTCTTATCCAGCACGAGACGCTCGAGGTTCAACATCATGTTAAACGTCTCGTCGATACTCGCAAGTTGGCAATGGGATAGATTGAGCATCTTCAGCGTGAGGACTGGCTCGTTGATCTCGAATTTGGTAATTGGGTTAGAGTTCAATTTCAAGCTCCGTATCCTGTCGAAGCTGCCGATGAACTGTGAGATGCTGTTGTGGTCTGCAGAGAGAATCTCTAGCTTGGGAAGCAATGAAATGATGTCGATGCTCGTGATGGCGTTATACTTGATATCCAATTCTCGAAGGCCCTGCAGCTCGCTGAAAGTGTCGGGCAGTGCATTCGACAGCCTGTTGTTCGTCATGACAAACTTTTCCAAGTTTCTCAGTCTTCCAATCTCATCAGGTAGACTGCTTATCGAGTTGAAGCTCAGATCCAACTCGACGAGGGTCTCCACCTGGCAAAGGAACAGTGGGAACTTGTCCAAAAAGTTGGACGAGATATTGAGGTTCCGCAGAGCCCTGTAGGCACCGAAATACGGCGGGAGTGCCTTGAGGCGGTTATTGGCTATGTTGAGCTTGAGTATGCCTTGCAGACCGTTCAATTCAGCGTGGTCCAGCTGTTCCAATCGATTGTTTGACACATCGAGGTACGTCAGCTTTGCCGCCTTGCCCAAACTGGGGGGTAATCTTCGCGCTTCGTTGTTGTTGAACTTGATGTCTCTCAAGTTTTGACATGACTGGATAAAGTCGCGAGGAAGATCCAGTGAGAGGTTACGCGAGAGGTTTAGCGATATGATCTCAGAGGCTTTGGAGTAGAGCGAAATCGGGATGGTGATGAGGTTGCGGCCAGCGAGGTCGACATGGTTGAACTTCTGTATGCGTCCAAGTCCAAGATCGTTTGTGACGGAGTGGAAGTCGCTCTCTCTTGAGGAGAGGAACATGAAACGGCACAGATAGCTGTTGTCCTCCCGACCAACGTCTTCGATCCGGTCCCGCTCCTCGTAACCGATTTGTTGCAGTAGCCGCTTCTGCATCAAAAGCGGACGCTCGGGAGCTGCGAGCACCCGGACCAAATCATGCTTCTTAAGAATGATGTGGTAATTCTCCAGCCCGTCCGTAGCGTAGGTCTTCTTGATAAGCTGTGATATAACATCGGTAACGCTCGCATCGAGAGCCATGGACAAAGTCGCAAACGTGCCGTCGGATCTGAAGATTCGGATGCAGTAAGGTGTCATCTTCTCATCGGGCCGAGGCGGACTGCCAATATCGTCAATGTCTGGCGCCTGGTACGTGGTGTCCTCGGTATTACGACGCACAGCCCAGCTGTCCGGCGCGTTCCAAGAACCATTGGGTCCGAGGACAGCATCGGGCTTCGCGGGCACTGGTGGTGGTTGTTCGACTTTTTCGGAATCGCCAATGCTGGAGAAGACGCCGCTGTCCATGGGCGTCAAGGGTTGGGGCTTCGTAAGGATACCGTCCATGTCGCTCAGGTTGGTGTCCAAGTGAATTCCTCCAAGCGATCCGAGATTGTTGTTCGCTCCAGGCTGTCTATCCGTCGGTCCAATCTGCTCATCCGGCTCCATAGTCCGTTGTTGCCGGCCTTTGCTCTTGGAAAACGGAAATCTGTTATTGAACGTCTGGTTCCGTTGGTTGTACGCTGCTAGTCGAGGATCTTGGTCTGAACCAGGCTCGGTGCCTGAGAAGGCGAGCGGGAAGGTTGAGGGCGACAGCTCGGGTCTTGCGAATTCGGGACGAGAAGGTTTGGTGGCCAGTGACCGAGTCGAGCCGGGCAGGTCGCGTAATCTAGACGCTCCGTCATCTTTGTCCTTGTTCCGCCGTAGACGATGCAATAAGTTTCTCTTGGAATGGTGTTGCGGCTGCTGCTGTTGCTGCTGTTGGCCGCTGGGCGACGTAGAGCCATCGACGGTGCCATGTCTCGAACTAAAGTAGCCGCCGCTCGGCGTCGGGCTCTGGGCGCGGGATCGATTGGAGCCGTACATGACTGTCGCTGCTGAGCCGCCGCGCTCTCTGGGGTTCTGTTGAACTTGCAAGCTGGCCTGCGAATCTTCCCTGCTTACAGTCGGTCGCAGGGCCCTGCCATCATCAATGCTCCTGTTGTGTCGATGGTGGTGGCCAGGGAGATGCACGATTGAATGGCCGGAGCGGCTGGATGAGGAGGTCTTTGGTGGATTTTGCGGGTTGTTGGGATTTTCGTTGTTCATGTAACGTTCGCGGTCGGGGCCGCTCAAAATATCTCTGACTGGGGCTTCGCCGAACCTGGCAATATCCTTGAAGCACATTTAGCAGTCTTGACTCGACACAGAGACGCGGGTGGAAGAAGGGGTAATAAGAGATAAGATAAGGCGATGGGTTGATGCGGCGCAATTCCCGTATGCGAGATAGCGGCGCCAAGGGTGCGGGTGCGGATGTGCGGAATGCGGATGGGAATTGGAAAGAGGAGGGATGTTCACAACGAAATCAATCGTGGAGAGTGGGATCAACAACAATGTACGAAATAGCGTCGAGGTACTCACATCAGCCTCCTGGTAGAGGAATGGCACGACTTCAGGAGCCGGTACTGGGGTTCTTGGTCTTGACGAGGAAGGCGAAGCTTCTCTGTCCCGTGCATGGTCTGTCGCGTTAGAGTAGTTGCGATCTCTCGTAGGGCGGCTGTGGCTATAGGAACGCGAGCGGTCCCTGCCAGAACTCGAATGCAAGCTGCTCTCGGAACCGTCTCGTCCAGGAAACTCCTCCCCAAAGAAACCCTGTAGTTTTTGTAATCCACCTCTTCGAATGCTCGTCTTGGAGCCCTGACTGCTCAAGGTCGTTATGCTAGCCAGAGAAGGCCTTCGTTCGTCTCCGAAATATGCTACATCTGGCGAATCTTGGCTACCAGAGGATTGAGGCGCGAGACGATTTGAAGGGGCACGGAAGCCAGGCGAGAGCTGTGAGGCAACGGAGAGGTTATCGCTCGAGTCGTTGTAAAAAGTAGTATTGAGCTGACTCTGAGGCGTGGATGCGGTGGCACCGCCGTTGGATGGCGACATCCAGGGAGCTATCTGGGAATTTGACGAGGGAGTGGCGGTGGGAGGGTTATGTTGGATGGAGGGCAGACGGCCGCCAGAAGTCTCTAGGACAGCCAGGTCTCTTCGGTAGTTGGCGAAGTCGCTCAGACGGTGATCGCGATAGGACGAGGCATTGGACTTTGTTGTTCCTGGTGACAAAGCTCCGCGCGGCGCAGAGGCAAAAGTGGAAGAGGTGGACGGGTCGGCTGGGCTCAAATCACTGATGAAAGACCTAGACGGGGGGCGCAACGCAATGACCAGTCAGTTGTGGGTGCATTCGTCAATCAAAGAAGAGGAATACGGAGGAAAAATGGAGGAGTAAGCTGTTAGTTCTGGTGGGAGAATGAGTATGTCTTGGGTGCTTGGCTTGAGAAGCTGTAACTGGGCTGGACTGGAGGGATCGAAAACAGCAGATAGCTCCACCATTGAAGCGACGACGACAAAGCTTGCCTGGGGCCGGGGCGGAGGAGGAGGAGGAGGAGGAGTAGGCGAGGGGACGGACAGGGAGGGGTGAGGTAAGGCAGGCCGCAGGGCAGGGCAGAGACAGGGAACGTACGAGGTACGATGAAAGTGCGGATGAGGCTTGTTGGTTTAGGGTCGCCGGGCTGCTGGCTTGTTGCTGGAACTTGGAGGGGAAAGTTGGGAACAGCACCAGCCAAGATACAACAAAATGGATATTGGATCCGTACGAAGTAAGGTATCCGTAATGTTCAAGAGGGGTGGAGGGGAAGGGGAATAAGACAAGACAAATGTTGCAATGCAATGCGCACACCAAGGCAATACGGGTAAAGTAGCAGACTGGAAGCAGCTCAGTAGCAGCATCTAGCAGGGCAGAAACAAAAAACCAGGACAAGCACAAGCACGACCAGCACAAGCTGGCGACAACCCTCAGTCCTCAGCTACGAACAGTAGGTTCGAATGGTTGAGAACTTCAGAGAGTCCTTGGACCTATTCCGTTCCGTAGACACTATTCGTACACCAGCTGTGTCTCGACTGGGGCTGGGACTGGGTTTCGGGACGCCGCCGCGGCACGCAGGGAAAAAAGCTGTGGGACGACAACCTGAACCAACGAGTGGCAGGGAACAGCGGCCCTGGGCAGCAGAGACAGAGAGAGACAGAGACAGAGACAGAGAGGGGACCAGAAGAGAGAGTGAGCGCCAGGACCACCTCACGACTCAAACAACCCACTTGCGGCTTACGGCTTGCGGCTCGCCCACGCAATCGCAGTAACTGGGTGGGAGGCGTAATGAGTGTGTGAGTGTCTGGAATCAAGGTATGAACCCCGGCGCCGGAGCTGAGAGCTGAGTGGTCTCACTCTCACTCTCACTCTGTTTTCCTCTGTGAGTCTCCTTTGGGATGGTATGTCCATAGATCGGTAGGGTAAAAGAAGTGGGATGGGAATTGTGTTTTGTGTGTGTGCGTGGGTGCTTGATGATTGATTGATCGACTAGGGGTTATGGGGAACGGACCGGGACAGGCACACAGGGCCAAACATGAGGAAGAATATGACACTCACTTGTCTGCGAGGGATCCATTGCTATTGCCAATGCCAGTGCCAGTGCCCTCCGTCTTGAGGCGCATGGACGACTTGCGCGATGCTGGGACGGGGTTACTGGAGGGTCTCACGGTGGCCGATGATCGGGTGCTGTCGGTACTGGTGCTCGTCAGAGAGCTGAAGCGGGAGCCGGCCTCATTCCTCGTCATTGTCGCCAGGCCGTCGCGAGAGGGCGTAGAGCCATGTCATTCCCGAGAAACAAGGTTGAGAAGAACAGAGGGGACCGGCACGCAGCACGGCACGCTATTGCTGTGGACGCAGTACCTACTCCGTCTCCGTAGGCGGTACGAAATACGATACGTACGTTAACGCGTGACGGACGAAAGCCTGAGTTGTGGGCACTGGGCGGTATCCGTAAGTTGGGCCTAGCGGGCACGCGGGTAATCGACGACGAGGGTGGAGTGGGCAGTAATCGTAATCGATATTTGCGAGTGGGTTTTGCGTTTGCGACTTTTGCGCACTTTCAGTTTTCGATGGAGGAAGTAAGCAAGCAAGCGGCAAGACGAGAAGCGGGGAGAGCTGGCGTCGGGGTTGACGATCCTGTTCTAGTGTATGTACGGATAGGATATTCGTACGATGACAAGGTAGAAGGACAGGTACGAAAACAGCTGAAGGGCGACAAACTCCAGAGTCCAAGAGAGGGGTCGAGGCCGTTCTGAGAATGAGGTGGGCCGACAGAGACAGAGGCTCAGAGCATGTGGAGATGAATACGATTAGATCATGCTTGTGGCGGCCAGGTGGAATGGAAAAGGAATTGGAACGGCGGCAGGACAGGAGGTATGTATTGTCGTCAAGAGGTGGCTGTTTTCGCAGGCCGGTCGCATCTGCTGATGTCAGTTGTGGTGCAAAGAGGCGAAGAAGAATGAAACTGCGTGGCAGCGAGAATAGCGAGGTAATGTAAGGTGGTCAGGTAGGGCCGAAAGGTAAAGTAACTGCTGCCGCTGCTGCTTTTGCTGTTGCTGAGGTGTGCAAGTGTGTTCAGGTAATGGAAGTATGAGGTACTCGGGTAGTCTTGTGCGACGGACGAATGAGCTCGATACAATAGGTGAGGTAAGGTAAGGTGAGGTGAGTGAAAGGTGAGAAGGTGCTGGTCAAGGTGACTTGCGTGGCGTGCAGAGAGAGTGCTAGTGTACCGAGTATGTGGTGGCGTGCAGCGTGTGGTGCGGGCGGCAGAGTACCTTACCTACCTATCCCCGCGCTCTGTGTTGGCGGTGCTAGGTTCCAATGGACTGGTGGGAGAAGATGATGCCCTCGATGCGAGGCTTTGCTGCACCTTATGGATGGATACCTTTCCTCACCATTTACCAAGTCATGTTGCAGTCATTCGTTTCTGCATTTTCGTAACTATAAATTGTAAGATATGTATATCCATGGTAGTGCTTACTAGGTACGCCGAATTACTTTACAGATTAACTAGTCGTGTCTGCCTCGAATTACAAGATGCCTTGGATAAAGCATGTTCCCGTGTACATATTTGCACACACGGAAGGTTCCCAAGGTCCTACCTTAAGGTAATGGAAGGTAGGTAAGGTAGGTACTTCACGATATCGGAGGTACCTAGGTACCAAGTCAGGGAAGGTGGCTACTTACTTAAGCTTTGGGTAAGGCGAGGAAGGCACCGAATGACCAATGGTCTGTTCCCATCCCAATTCAATCCCAATGCCTTCCGTCCGTACAACCCCAATGTGACAACACCAGGTACAACGTCCACAAGAAACCTCGTCGTTCAGTCTTTGAATGCAACTTGTGTCCCTATCCCGTATTTTCAGTATGGAGTACCGGTATGAGGGTCATGTTTGAAAGAAGCACCAACATTCCATGTTTCAATCCCAGGAATCCCTGTCAGCACCACCTTAGACACAAAACCTCAATTCAGTGTACTTACCTTCACGCAGTATTTCGTATAAGGTGAGGCAATGTGGGAGGTACCCTGACGCCTGCCTTACACAAAAGAGTACCTACCTTACTTTACTAGCAGGTGGATGTGGGCTTTCCCGGGGATTAGACCCGCTCCAGGACTCGCTTCCGTCGCTCTGCCGGACCGTAGCGCGCTGAGGTGCGGTTGAGTGGGCGAGCGAGAGTGGGTAAGTAGTTAACCGGGCTAGCTTCCATGGAACTAAGTACCTACGAATAGACTTGCCAAAGTCTCAGAGATGGACCACCAGGAGTGTCGCTCAGACCGGACGGCCTACCTATCCCAGTGAAAGAGCATCAGGAGCTTCGTGCTTCCGTATGTCTTTCCCCCAGGTACGTTAGACTCCAAGAAGCGTCTCTTTGCGCCTACACATGGACCCTAGCATTCAGGTTCATCGTTGCTGTACAGAGTACTCCATACCCTGCGCCTAGAGCTCCCTCTTTCTCTTTCTCTTTGCCTGTGCCTCTGTGGGCCGTCAAGATTCCTTGTCTCGTTTCGCTTCGTCTTGCGCAGGGCACAAGTGTATTCGCTGTATCTCTACCTGAGTGAAGATTGACACATATAGCGACAGGCTGGATGCTTCAAAGATTTCCAACAAGTCCATGCTGCGTATCGACATGCTTCGATCATACGTCAAGAGAGGCACAAGGAACCAATCGGGCATGTGTTGCCGATGCACCACCTGTGGCATAGTCGTATTTTTTTCTTCTTCTTCTCAGTCTTGAAAATTCTGCCAGGCAGAGCTTTGGGTGCCCTTGTTTCGATGGAATCAAAGTGTTTGGTTCCCCGACACTTAGCGCGGTGGGTGTGATGACAATACCTTCATTTCACCGTCTGAGGTTCCGTGAAGTGGCCCTTGGGACTGGAGGTGCTGAGGTATTGGTGAGGTGCTGAGGTACTGGGAAGGTGGGGTAACAGGTAGGGACATGCCCACGGACCACCTGCACAAGATGTCGGGTAGATGGTAGCGGGCAGGGCAGGGATGGCACCTGATCTGGCTGGAGTGGGGCGATGGGTCATTCCATGATTGGTTTCCCCAAGTGTGAGTGGCTGACATGTTTGGAGGAAGATGGAAAGTCCCCCTCCCACATCATAAGGTACCTTAAGATAGGTTACGGAGCACCGTACCTCCTCCTTCTGGGCTAGTCTGTTTGTACCTTTGTACCTCACCTCCTCCTGGACCGGGAGGTCTGCACGCCTCAGGGCAGGTGCGAAGCGATGCTATCTCGGGACTTGCCATCTCCCGCTAATCACCTGCGACATCTCAAGTATCGTCCTATCGTCCGTTCGCATTCCACCCAACATCGTACTGCGTAGGTACACCAAGAGACGAGAGGCGAGAAACAAGAAACGAGAAACGAGAAACGAGAAACGACAGCACATCTCAACATCAACCGTCCACTCGCCCCCGTCCACCTCGCAAGGAACGGACTTCGCGACTCGCAACGCCAGAGCTGAAGAGAGGTCAGTGTCACCGTCCAAGGGACGGGCTGGCAGGGGAACAGACTACAGATTCTCAAAGAGTAATACGACTCTGACACTCGCTGCCCAATGTCATTTCCGATATTCGTCTTCCTCTCTTGAGACCAGAGACCAGTCACTGCACTACACTACCACCCATACGCCTACGGGTAGACCAGACCTCCTTCTTTCATCTCGACATGGACTCATGGGCTCATGAACCTCCGAGCATACGTATACGAAGTCATACGGGGTACGAAGCACGGAGAACGAAACAGAGGCTTTCTTTCGCCTTAGTCAGTTAATGTCTCCTCTCTACTTGTTCAACCCCCCGATCTCAGTCTCCCTTCATCTTGGCACAGCGCGGCACGCAAGGTCCAGCTTCGTAATTCCCTTTTCAGCGCGGCTGCTGTTGCATGGCCGTTCAGTTGCTATTCTTGCCTGCTCGTTGTCGCATCATGGCGTTCCACTGTTCGAATTCGGCATCTTTGCCTCTTTTTTTATTCTACCTACCTACACCAAGGTACCTCACTTTTAACCTATGCGGTATTCCCATTCCTGCAGTAGACCATCCATCACCGTGTTGTGCACCCATACTTCGACTACGGCATGTGTTCCGGTCCATATCTTGATACCTCACGGCTGTACTTCCGCGATTCATTCCCAACTCCAGTCAAGCGCCCGTCGTTGTGGGATTCGTCCAAGTTGCGAGATGACTGTCACAGTCGAAGCCTCACTCACGGACGTGGTCCATCTGCCAATTGGATGACAGAGTGACGACCCCGTTGCTAGCTTTTTTCTGCCAATATCAAATTTAAATTCCTCAAAGTTCCAACCATGGCCCCTGGCAACTCTTGTCATTCCACGAGCGCAGTTCCGTTACCTTGCGGCTGGTTTAGGTTGCCTACCTTGCCTTACTGCACATCGCCCACCCATGCAGCCACCACCACCATCATCATTCCCGAGTCGTTGAGCTTCCATATGAATAAAGATTCACAGCGCATCTCCTACTCACCCACACAACACGCACACGCATGCGCACACGCACACACATGTCAGCCATGCAGCAGCCCGCGGGGCGACGCATAGGGCAGACACACCGCTGTTCACCAGCAGGGCAAGCCAGCTCAGACGCTCGTCTCATCCTGTATCCCTACTTCGTACACCTCCACGGCCTTCAACGCCGCTGTACGGTTGTCCTGCGTCTCCTAGTGCTCTAGGATTCCCCTTCTTCGCTCTCTTCCATTGCCTCCTCATCTGCCCCCTCTCCGCTGCCTGACCATGCTCCCCCGTCCAAGCAAGCAACCTCACACATGTTGTCGAGCGAGCAGCCTCCCTGCTTGGCCACATGTCTTCTACCATTCTACATGTTCTACGCAGCAACTCTGCTCATCTATCAAGGCTACACTTCCCAGTGGCTCCCAACCGTCGTTCACGACACTAACCGTCCAGGCGTGCAAGGCCCAAACTCTATTCTCCCATCACCACCTCCAAGCGTCAATATGGCCTGATACTGACATCTTATTTGGCAGTTCGATCTCTGCACCAAGCTGTGGCTACAGCTATCTCAAACCATGACTTCTCAGTCACCCTATCCAAACCAAATTCATCGCTTTCGCTACTCGCCTCTTTGGCTCTTACCTTACCGTCTGTTGCCAGAGAAGGTCCATTTGAACTAGTTCTACAACGAAACCCCAGTCTCTCACTCTCCGACGCCACATGTCTTGCCTGTGAACAAGAAGGACTATCGCCAGACAGCGATCAATGCACCCTCTGGAAGGCCCTTGTTTCGTTGCTTTCGGGCCTCTCAGGGCCACTTTCGCCTCTCCCTTGCCTGGCCATCCATGCACGTCTTACCATTCCTGCGTTACCATGCACACCAAAAACAACCCGTACATGTAATCTAGAGGGAAAGGCCGCGTCTGCAACCTCACTCTTGTCCTCAGTAGGTACACCTCTGACATGGGTCGATACTCCGGAGTTCGCCGCCATCAAAGCCGCCCCAATCTCATGATTCTAGCTGCCTAGGTCATGCGAGGTATGCGAGGCAAACAACCATAATGAAACAACGATATCAACATCAACGTCAACACCATCACCGGGTACGTTGGAGGCATCACCGTGGCTATATGGAGTTCCTGCTACAATATGACTATGATAATCAAGCGATTAGTTTAGACTAGTCAACCACTATACACCATGTCCAGCTCAGCTGTTAGTCAAGGCACGTCAAGCTGCTCTCTAGTCAAATGTACACAGTTCTAGGAGCAGCTCGTTGCGAATGGCAAAAAAGGCCGATGTGCCTTTCGTAAGTTTTACCTTTCCGTCCCCGGAATACCTTGTGCCCTGAGTCCTACCCTCCCTGTTGGACGATTCGCGAGCCGCAACGACGACAGGAAGATCGACAACCTTCTTGGGTCTAGATCTGAACTCATCAGTTGGCATAATATGCTTGGAGGCATGGTCTAATCCTACAAGCTACTGTTCTCAACACGCCATACGAAGTTTCATCGACAAGTCGAAGCACCGGCCAGAGGACGCATTGTTACACCTTGCATGGTCCCTGAAGATCTCTGTGGGCTCCCGAGTCAAGACATTGGCTCAAGGGTTGCAATTGTCCTTTATTTCTGAAGTATCTCTTGTTCTCGTCTGGACAATATTGCCTTCGGAGCAGCTTTCCGGTCATCCCATCCCATTGTTTGGCAACCACCACTCCTGAGCACAAGCTCGTAAAATGAAGCGGAGGCGGCATGTTTGTTTGGTCCGCAACGGGCCAACTCGCCACATCTTAATTGACTCGAGAGCATTGCCCACAGGTTCTAGAAGGTAGTTCCTCTGAACAAGTGGTTATCACGAGGATCCCGTGAAACGGCCGCGAGCGAGTAAAAGAGCGAGGCCAACGCTCCATCCCATGGAGCCTGGACGCGGCCGCCCATGGGTCGAGCTGGTAACAAGATGGTGTTTGTTCTTTTTTGTACCGAACCTCTCGTCCTTTTCCCAGATATGGTTATGCCTAGTAATGTAATCCACGCCACCCAAAAGGACGCAACAGAAACACAAATTTTCCCAAAAAAAAAAAACACGCCATTCTCTAATCTTGTCTTGCCGGGTCCAGTTTGACCTCTCCCACAATGGCATCGACCTCGGCCATGATCTCGGGCGTAAGCTTCTCCAGAACCTTCAATGCGCCCACATTCTCCACGATTTGCTCCGGCCGTGAGGCTCCGGTGATCACAGAGGTAACGTTGGGGTTCTTGAGGCACCACGCCAGGGCAAGCTGTGACTGCGTTGCGCCGAGCTTCTCTGCAATACCCTAACCACACACACACCCACATGTCCCGGTCAGCCATCATGATCTCTTTCGTGCCGAGTCGCGAGCGTTGCCGGCGATGCCAGCAGCGGACACACGGGGGAGAAGGGTAAAAGAAAAGTGTCAACAACAATAGCAGACTCACCTTGAGCTTGACGACATTCTGAATCAGTGCCTTCCACTCGTCGTTACCGTACCACTCCTTGTTGGCCCAGTTGACAAACTTATCGCCCTTGCCCTCCGCAAACCGACTGCCAGCCGGAGGCGCGTCGGGGTTGTCGTTGTACTTCCCGCTCAGCAGGCCCATCTTGATGGGGCTGAAGACGGTCAGGCCGAGGCCGAAGCGCTGGTACAGCCGCTGGAACTCGTACTCGACCTTGCGGCGCTCGAGGATGTTGTACTGCGGCTGCTCGACGACGGGCGCAATCATCTTGAGGTCCTTTGCGATACCGCAGGCCTCGGCGATCTCGTCGGCGCTCCACTCCGAGGTGCCCCAGTACATGGCGTAGCCCTTGTCGATGACGTGGTTGAAGGCGCGGACCGTCTCCTCCATGGGCGTCAGGCGGTCCGGTCGGTGGGCGTAGACGATGTCGACGTACTCGAGGTCGAGGCGCTTGAGGGAGGCGCGGAGGCCTTCGATGATGTGCTTGCGCGAGAGGCCGTGGTTGTTGACGAGGACTTCGCCGTTGGCGCCGCCCCAGTTGAGCTACAAGTGCGCGCAATCGGTCAGGAGTCTTGCTCCAACTGTGCTGTCGCTGCTACTGTGGACTCGAGGGCCAGGAAACTCACCTTTGTTGTGACGACAATGTCATTACGGTTCCAGTTGAACTTCTTGATGGCCTGGCCCATGATGATCTCCGAGTTTCCGCCCGCATAGCTGTATGGAGCGAATTGTGATTAGCTACTTCAACTTCGCTTCACTCGGCCGCAACCGCACGATATCGCACGGGGGAAGTTGGAAAGAGCTCACCTCTCAGCCGTATCGAAAAAGTTGACGCCAAGGTCGTAAGCCTGCTTCATACACGCAAACGTCTGTTCTGCAGTGTGGTGTAACCGTTAGTGATGCTGCCAGAGTGAGCCTTCTAGAAGATCATTGGGGCTCCGGTTTGTACCATTCTCAACGTGGCCGCCGAAGCTGTAGTATTCACCAAAGTCAGCACGAAGGTCCTACAAAGCACTTTGCCAATTTGCGTGAGGAAATGGGTGGGAGAAACGTACGTCAACCAACCGCCCAAACCCAGCACCGAAACGTGAAGTCCCGAGTTGCCCAGGCGGCGGTACTGCATGCCCGTCTTTCTAGGCTCTTCCCACGCCATTGTGTCTTGTGCTGTCGCTCTGTCAGGTTGTGATCACTAGGTACTTCGTCGTCGTGCGTCGGCGTGTGGTCTCGAGAAGCGTAGAGAAGCGTAACTAGGCAAAAAAATATGTAGGATGTTTTGTTTACATTTACTCTCATCCACCTTTTTTTTCTTCCTCTATACACTGCCTGCTAATGATTTTACCCCTCCGTCTTCGCTCCCGCGCAACATGGGAAAGCTCCAAAAGAGCTTGCCCCGCACCCCTCTCCCTCTGCGGAGATATTATCGGAAAGTGATGTTTCTTTTTTACCCCTCCAAGACTGCCCCCCACCACGTCATGCTCGCAGCTGGCATTGACCAATGGCCCACCTTGTGCGGCGGCGCGATGCGGCTGGCTGCAGCTGGGGCAGAGGACCAAACTGCATGTTGGTTCCCGAAGGATTACTATCATGTATATTCATAAGTAGGGACTTATATACATATGAAAGGATCGCGGCAGGCATGTCTCCAACGACGGGAAGGGGAGGGTATGGTTAGAACGCACGGGACAGGCTGGCTCTCCTTATTTTTTTGCAGACGATACTGAACACGCGTGGGCAACTCAATGGCTTTTGGCTTATGGCGCTTCGCCCGATGAATCGTCGCGGTGTAAGCTGGACCTACTGAAGACACTAGGTACTCGGGCAGAGTTTAGTCTCTGAGGTGTCTGACATGGAGGCTGACACCGTGGCGTCCATCGAGATGTTCGCTTGGATGACTGCTGGAAAGCATGTTGTACCGCCATCTTGGTCGCTATAGAACGTGGATGTGGTCCAGTCGTGGCACTCTACCAAGCCCTCCGAGCTTCACCGCTCGGACTAGTAGTGCAGAAACTGTAGCCATCTGCGAGCTAACGGTTCCATTGCTGTCGAATGAACCAGGTAAGTACTGGTGCCAGGCTCTCGTGCCGGTGCCTGCGATCATTCTACGCCACGGTTTGTCGTCCTCAGCGTCCAGGGAAGCTTTCCTACCAACGTTCCTCGTGTTATTCACATCACCGGTGCGGAATCCTAGCCCGGCTCCGGAAGCAGTCTCCGTCTTGATGAGAATTCCGGACCCTGGAAGACGGGCCCAGCGGTGTGTGACGATTCATGATCCCACTGAGGGTTGGAGAGGAGCTTTGTCGAGATGTCAACAGGCTTCTGCTTGCCGTAGCTGACGATGGTGCCGAGCTCTCGTTGATATATTGGCTTGTGGCAGATTGAGGTATCCATAGATGAACGTCGAAGGCTTGCAACGGTCTACCTTTTACTATTGAATAGGTCTATCAAATACCCACCTGGCCCCAAGAACACTTCGGTGCGACAAATACATATGACCACCATTCGATGTATCTCGAAGCACTGGACTTGGGGTTGACAAGCCGTCGGTGTTGCTGTTCTATGCCAACGACAATGAGAGTAATATTCGCAACGATTTATAGCACTGTCTCGTTTTCCAAAACCATCGGTGAACTCATCAATAACCCAAGAGTGTCTGGACGCCGTGAAGCTTCCGCGAGTCCGGTTCACTCCCATCGAGATGCAAAGGCTCCGGATCCCGAATCAACCCTCGTAGGATCGGTGGACCCGGCAAAAATCTCGGGGACGGGATCGGGGGTGGCTCGTGTGGACAGTGGGCCAGCACCGCCGGCGGGGCACTGTGTAACAGACACACACACACACATCCATCCACTTGGGAGGAACCCGGCACCACCACACCACACCTCTTTGCTTCCAACGCAGGCGCAGTTACACGTTGGACTCGGGAGGGTGATCTTCTCAACATGTAACGAGACACAGCGTAATGGCGTTATGCAGCTGCTTTGTTGGCCGTCTCCCGCGCGTCGGCGGTTGTACCTGCTTGGGGACCATCATACTCTTGTTTTCGTGTCCCATGAATAGCAACACGAATGCCTTGAGTAAGTGCATAGCTTGCAGAAAAGTACCTCTATCTCGCCCCATGTTCGAGTGTAAGTCAAGGTACCTTGTGTACATACAGCACGTAGCCCAGCACTTGGGGCACCCAAAAAAGTTACCCCGCATGACGAAGACGGGTTCGATGGAGGGGCAGCTGCATTCAACCTCCGATTCGGGGGAGACCCGACGGGGAAGTGAAAGAGTCTCCAGACAGCCCATTCCCTCTCGTCATTCGTCCCTTTCTCGCTCGCTTTTCTCGCTCGAATTCTCCCGCGGTCCCCAAGTGTCGGGTCGGTAATTATCAACCCATTCCCCACGCGAACCCACGGCAAAAAGGTATTCCCAAGTATTACCTGAAAGTTGGCTGCAACAACCCGCCGATCATCTCTTCCCTACTACCTTACCTGTACAACCAGCCCACGCGCCGTCTTTGGTGTCTCGTGTTTGGCTGAACATTGGCTTTTCCGCCTTACTCAGCTTCGTCAAGCCAACACTTTGCCATCTCCAAATTCTTCCAATTGGTCACCACGACCAGTCTTTACTCGCAGAAACTCTTTGCAAAGCCCTCCTCCCCCGCCAACGGACCAAGCTCCTTTTTACCAAACAGCTAACCACCCCCCGCCCTCTTACCGGAGAGCCTGAACTTTGAATCTCTTAAAGGAGTCTCGGCTCTCTCTTGTCTTTGCAGCTCTTTCAAATTGTATAAGACGTAGACCTCTTTGTCTTTATATTTCCAGGCGCTGTTCGTTTCTCAAATCAACTGCTGCATTGCGCGTATCCTAAAACAGCTACGCAAACGACCCCGAACCGGCATTACAGCTTTCTACTCTCGAAAGCTTCTCGAATAATCTACCAATTCCACACCTCTTCTCACCGTAAAACCTACAGCACACCCAGATTTCCGCCCACAATGGCACGCTACGTCGTCGCGGAGAGCGCGGGCGGCCAGCCCCCCAAGAGACACCTCCGCAAGTGGTGGAAAGAGAGCTCCGTATACCAAGTCTACCCGGCGTCCTTCCAAGACTCGACCGGCTCGGGCGTAGGCGACCTCAAGGGCATCATCGACCGCGTCGACCACTTCAAGTCCCTCGGCGTCGATATCGTGTGGTTGTGCCCCATCTTTGAGAGTCCCCAGATCGACATGGTGAGTCGAAGCTTCCATCTCCATAAATAAAACCGTCAGAGGGGGTTCTAGTTGTGATCCATGTGCGAGCCGGTAGCAATTGGTTCTCCTAGACATTTCATAACGAAAACCAGGTCGGACAGAGAGACTAACCAACGAGCGTGTACTAGGGCTACGACATTAGCAACTACAAAAAGATCCACGAGCCGTACGGCACCGTCGCCGACGTCGACACCCTCAAGGACAAGCTCCACGAGCGCGGCATGAAGCTCGTGCTCGACCTTGTCGTCAATCACACCAGCGACCAGCACGAGTGGTTCAAGCAGTCGCGCAGCTCAAAGGACAGCCCCTACCGCGACTGGTACATCTGGCGCAAGCCAAAGTACGACGCCCAGGGCAACCGCCAGCCTCCCAACAACTGGGCCTCCCATTTCCAGGGTCAGTTCCGCCCTCTCATCTTCTACCTACTTCAAAGAAGCCGGCCAGGGCTCCTGTGCTATGCTCCTGAGTCTCTAGAAGCTCGTGAACTGCCCACCGAATAGTGATGGAAATGTAAACTAACATCGGGCGTCTAAATGTAGGCAGCGCGTGGGAATACGACGAAGCCACAGACGAATACTACCTCCGCCTCTTCGCCCGCGAGCAACCCGACCTCAACTGGGAGAACCCCAAAGTCCGCGCCGCCGTCCACGACATCATGCGCTTCTGGCTCGACAAGGGCGCCGACGGCTTCCGCCTCGACGTCATCAACTTTGTCAGCAAGCCTCAGGATTTCCCAGACTCCAAGCAAGAGGTCCTCCCCGGTTCCGAGCTCTACTCTGCCGGGCCTAGGCTGCACGAGTACCTCAAGGAGCTGGGCGCCATCCTGCACGAGTACGACGCCTTCAGTGTCGGGGAGATGCCCTGCGTCAGGGACCTGAACGAGGTCATTAAGAGTGTGAATGGCGATCGCGGGGAGCTGAGCATGATTTTCCATTTTGAGTTGTAAGTTTCCGCCCCCAATTTTCACCCCCCCCTTTTCCCATCCTCCATCAGCAGTGTAACTAACAAGTCCCCCTTCCAGCGTCGACATCGATATCGGCCCCCACGGCAAATTCTCCGCCAAAGAATGGGACCTCGCGGAGCTCAAGGGCATCGCCAACAAGTGGCAGCGCTTCATGTACGACCACGACGGCTGGAACGCCCTGTACCTCGAGAACCACGACCAGCCGCGCTCCGTCAGCCGCTTCGCAGACGACGCGCCGCAGCACCGCGTCAACAGCGCGAAAGCCGTGGCCATGTTCCAGGCTCTCCAGGCGGGAACGCCGTTCGTCTACCAGGGCCAGGAGATTGGCATGGTCAACGTGCCCAAGGAGTGGCCGATGGAGGAGTACAAGGACATTGACTGTCTGAACCACTGGAAGTGAGTAACACCGTCACAGATCCTTGGTTGTGAAATCCTAGGTTTGAAACCACACGAGAATCATGCAATGCTGACAATTTCCCCCGCAACCAGCTTGCATAAGGACTCCAAAGACAAGGAGTACCTCAAATTCCTCAAATCGCAATACCAGAAGAAATCCCGCGACAACGCCCGCACACCAATGCAGTGGACCTCCGGCCCCAACGCAGGCTTCACCACACCCCAGGCCACGCCGTGGATGACGGTGCACCCGAACCACTCGGAAATCAACGTCGCCGCGCAGGTTTCGGACCCGGCCTCTGTGTTCAACTTCTGGAAGACGGTCCTCGCGACGCGCAAGCGGTACCTCGACATCTTTGTCTACGGCGACTTTGCGCTCGTGGATGAGAAGAATGAGAAGATCCTGGCGTACGCGCGGCGGGCCGAGGACGGTGCCGTGGCGGTCGTCGCGTGTAACTTTTCAAGCGGGACGGTGAGCTGGGAGGGACTGAAGGCGGAGAGCGTCAAGGAGGTGCTTGTTTCCAACGGCGGCAAGACCGTGGAGGATTTCAGTGGA